TTCCGGCGCTTCAACTCCCTCAGCTCCTCGGTAAACCAAGGAGCCAATTGAGATTGGCGCTGGGTCAGAGGCCGCAAAGGCACGACCCGATCCAGAGCACCAGCAGCCGCCCTATCCCAGGCGGCCACCAGGTCTCCAGTCGAGGCGTGTGCCAGAACCTCAGGAAATGGCCCAAGCTCCGTCTGGAATCTGTCAGGTTCCATCAGGCGCCTGGGGCGGAACCATCTGACCGGCTCCGCCTCCCTGCGGCGGGGTGCAGCGGTTTGAAAGTCGAGACGAAGGAGAGAGTGATCTGACCATGACAAGGGTTCAGTAACTATATCCCCTATATCAAGATCCCTCAACCACTGTCCAGAGACAAAAACCAGATCCAGCGTGTTTCCCCCTGTGTGGGTAGGGCCATGAATTAACTGGGTCAGGTCCATAGCTGTCATGGAAGCCATGAACTCCCGAGCCATCTCTGACGTCTCACCCACGGACGGCAGGTTGAAATCCCCCATAACCATAAGCTTAGGGGTATCAACCGCCACCACTCCATTATAGAATGGAGTCAACAATTAAGGGTTGCTCTCATGAGAGAGAATGCACTGTTCCTAGCTAACAGACTTCCCCAAAAGCCCTGGTCACTGGAAATTGACTGCATTCATCACAGGGCATTTTGTATCATGTTAACCTCCATTCCATCTGCTATGTATCCATCCATTGAGGACAATCTAACTGTTTATGATGTTATGCAAAAACTATGTAACCTGTTTTATAGCCAGAGCAGAGCCACTACCACTAGACTATCTAGGGAGTTCCACTCCACCAAGCACAAGGCAGGGGTCCCCATGAGTGAGCACATTTTAAAGATGAATGCTGCAAGGGCAGAGCTCATGCAGAGGGGGGAAATCATCACTGAAGAGAGCATGATAAGCATAATCATAAACTCTCTTGATAGCAGTTGAGACAGCTTCATAACCCAACTAAATAGCCTCAGCTTGCAATACCTAACACTAGGCGCACTGACCAGTCAGCTCGTTGCAGAGGACACTCTGAGGAGGAAACGCCAACTATCCAAAAGGGATCCTAGACCCACGAAGAGGGTGGATTTCCAGGATAAGGCCAGGGATACCTCAGAATGTTATTCTTGTGGGTCAAGGAACCACTTAAAGAGAGATTGCCCCAAGAACCATAGGGACAGGGGACAGCATGACAGTAGAGGGGGGGGGGTCACCTGAACGCAAGTACCCAAAGCAAAGGGGGCGAGGGTGGTCACCCAACCCCAGGTAACACCTCGAGCGCAGAGACCACTCCAGGGACAGTAACTCTGGCTCCATGTACGGGATCAGGCACGATGACCCAAATGACAAACATAAGATAGAGAGAAACACATGGCTTCTGGACTCAGGGGCCACAAGTCACACTACTTGTAACCCAGAGCTGCTAGACTCACTCACAGAAGTAGACTCAGAAATAAAGGTGGCAAACCAAAGCAAGGTCAAAGTAGTGGGGAAAGGAAACGTACACATCACACAGATAGGGGATTTAAAAGGGGTACTGTACGTACCAGAGATATCCCACAACGTGCTAGCCATCACAAAGCTGACACGGGACACAAACATAGAGATAAAATTTAAAGAGCCTTGGTAGTACAGGGGTTTAAGGCACCCTGTTATTAAGCTTATTAAGACCAGCTGCCTGCAATTACTGCAGGGTTCGAATCTCGCCAAGGCTCAAGGTTGACTCAGCCTTCCATCCTTTCTAAGGTAGGTGAAATGAGGACCCAGTTTGTGGGGGCAATAAGCTGACTTTGTATAAATATACAAAAGGATGAAGGCTATTGCTGAGCACATTGTAAGCCGCCCTGAGTCTTCGGAGAAGGGCGGCATATAAATCAAATTAAAAAAAAAAAAGATGGAAAGGCACACTTGATCAAGCAAGGGAAAGAGATAGGAAAGGTAACCATACACGAGGGACTTCCCTACTTCACACCCAACGCAAGGGAGGAAGAAGGCATGGATACCAACACGAACCACAAAGTAGATAAGTATCCAGAAATAAAGGGGGTGCAGCAAGAGGCAGGATGTGGCCATGAGAAGGCAAACAAGTCTGTATCTATCGGCAAGCCATAGCATGATAACTGCGCCCACCTCTTCCACAGGAGGCTGGGACACATAAACTTCCCCATTGTAAAGAAAATGACGGAATGTACCGAGGGTCTCAAAGTAAAGAACTGTGAAAACTACTTGGAGTGTTCGGTCTGTAAGCGTTCTAAGATCAAGGTTAAGGCCACCCCCAGGGGATCCAAACGAACCACGGAATACCCCTTCCAATTGGTGCATATGGACTTGGTAGGGCCAATGAAACCCTCTGTAGGGCATAGGAAGCGATTCTTCCTCACAATTGTGGATGACTACACCAGATACGGGTATGTCTACTCCCTCAGACACAAAAACGAAGTGTTCCAAAGGTTTAAAGAATTCCACAGAAGAGTAGATATGCAACATAACATGAGAATAAGGCAGATAATGACAGACAGGGGCTCAGAATTCATGGCCAAAGAATTCACAAGGTGGCTGAGGGAACAGGGCATAGCGCATTACACCTCTTCACCTTTCTCCCCCTTTCAAAATGGAGTCTCAGAGAGAAAGAACAGGGTATTGCAAACCATGATGAGATGCGCCCTGGAGGATGCTGGGATGGGGCAGCATTTTTGGTCAGAGGCACTACACTACGCTAATTACACCCTGAATAGACTGTGGTCAAGCTCTATCAATAAGACACCATACGAGATGCTATACAACAGAAAACCCAACATCGCACACTTACACATATTCGGCGCCCCAGGCGATGTCCACATCCCCAGACAATTAAGAAAGAAAGGGGAGAAATTATCAAAAAGACTAAGATTCGTGGGTTACGAACCGGGCACAAAGGGCTACAGATTTGTCGACAACAATAACCGTTTTGTGGTTTCCAGATCAGCCAGTTTCCACGAAAATGCAAACTGGTCGAGGGTACACTCCAACGACATTCCAACCAATAGGGTCACATTCGAGCATGGCCAAGGGGAAAGGGGGGTCAGAGAGGTCGCAGGGCACGAAGCCAACCATCGCAAGGCAAGCATCAAAGAGTGGAAAGAAGGGCATCCTTTCCTGAAGATAGATGACCTGACAGACAAAGAGGCAGACAACATGCAGGAAACCGAGCCAACCCCCTGCAGGCCAATCAGAGAAACCAGAAACAAGCTACCAAAGAAACTAGAGGACTACATTATGGCCATCCATAACACCCATTTCACGCCCAGCTCATATGAGGACATCCTCGGGCTCCCCCAGAAAGAGAAAGAAAAATGGATGTCTGCCATGGAGAAGGAGATGAAGAGCCTAAGGAACCTCCAGGTATACTCACCTGCCCAAATTCCAGAGGACAAAAAACCAATAGGAACCAAATGGGTGTTCAGGGTTAAGACTTTAGAGGACAACAAGGTCCTATACAAGGCAAGACTAGTCGCGCAGGGTTTCGCCCAAAGATACCCCGAAGACTATACACACACCTACTCGCCAACCGTCAGGGCGGAGAGCGTCAAAAGCGCCCTGGTGGTGGCCACCATCCTGGGCTTGGAGGTTTTCCAATTCGACGTACAAACAGTGTACCTGCACGCCGAGTTGGATAAAGAGATATACGTTAAAGCACCGCCTGGGTACAACGAGGGCGATAACCAAACCTGGCTGCTGAACAAAAGCCAGTACGGGCTCAAGCAGTCAGACAAAAGGTGGTATGACTGCCTAGCCAAGGCACTTAGATCCATGGGCTTCGAGGCCACCTCAGCCGACAAATGCTTCTTCACGAAGAGAGAAAATAACACATTCGAAGGTGTGCTTGTTTACGTGGACGACATCTTGTACATCAGCAAGCACAAGGACAGATGTGACAAGTTCGCCACTGAGCTGGGTAGCCACTTCTCCCTAAAGTCACTTGGAAAAATCGATAGATACCTAGGGGTCCAAGTGATAAAAACCAACAAGGGTTTCCGCCTCTCCCAGAGAGAAAAAATCATCGAGCTGCTGTCCAAATGCAACATGTCCGAAGCAAAACCCAGCAAGACCCCCATGCAACCTGAGTTCCTGAAGACTATGTACGAGGAATCTGAACCTTTCACAGACAATAAGTTGTATAGATCAACGATAGGGTCACTGCTGTATATATCCAACTGGACCAGGCCCGACATCACCTTAGCCGTCAATCTGCTGTCCAGGCATGTAAGCAAACCCACGGTAACACACTGGAACGCAATCAAAGGACTACTTAGATACTTAAAATTCAGTGCGGATGCCCTACTCTGCCTAGAGCCAGAAACATCCGAGAAACCAAAGCTAACCTGCTATGCTGACGCTGACTGGGCTGGGGACATAGAGTGCAGAAAGAGCACCTCCGGCTATGTGCTACTACTCAACGATTGCCCCATCCATTGGTACACTGGAAAACAAAAACTGGTGGCTACATCAACTACGGAAGCAGAATTTGTTTGCCTATCAAAGGCTGCAAACAATTTAGTATGGTTCGATGACCTGCTCTGCAACATCTGGGCTGAACCCTCATATCCCATAGTTATCCACGAAGACAACAAAGCAGCGATAGAGATCTCAAAGGCCGATGCCATAGGTCAGCGGTCTAGGCACATTGACATTAAATACAAACACGTCAGGCAGTTTTCAGAGATAGGTTTCATTAAGGCAGTACACTGTGACACAGAGGAGCAAACAGCAGATATTCTCACTAAACCCCTACCACATAAACAGCATGCGTACCTCATGTCTAAAATGCGTGTTTACTTGTAATTCGTGCCTGTGCCTGTGTATTCTCTGTATGTATACAATCACTCCCCCAGGTACCCAGTTAGGCATTTAGAGGGGATTTTGTCATGGTAAATGCCTAACTACTACATCTCCCTGATCACCCGGACCTGCAAGGGTTAACTGACCACATATCCCATAACCCCTGTAACCACTCCTTACCTCTTTGCCCCTCCTCCTGGGTATAAAAGGTCCAACCACGTGGTCCACAGGGTACTCCAGATATATACCTGAAAGAGAAAGGTACAAGGTCAGTGACCTCCAGTACCATCAAATCTATAATAAAGCTACAGAAAAGAATTGGAGTCTGTCTTTGAGTTATTGGGCTAGATCCAGCTTTTAACAGCTTATAATAAACACAGCATTGGTATTTATGGTTTTGGTTTCTTGCCTGGACTACCTTGAAGAGCTGACATCAGGTTATGCTTAATCCGTGATTTATCTGGATGTGCAGATCCTTCTCACAATTACTATAGTTGAACCAGGTGCTGCCAATCTTGTACCCATGCATCCAGCTTTTCCTACATAAGTTTAGAAACCCTCTGTGGAAGAGCAGGGTATTGGTGAACAATTGCAGGCATCTGTGCTGTGTCCCCCCCCTCCATCCAAGCCTTTTGGTGTTAGCACAGCAAAACTGTTTATAAGAGGTGAAACCTTGAAACAGATGGGGATGAGACGTGTGGTATTTTGAAGCTCTGCAGCAGCAACCAATGTAAAAAGCAGTCAAATAAAAGGAGTTTTTTCTTCACAGAGACTGACTGGTCCAGAGGAAAAAGAAGGGACATAGCACAGCAAAACTACATACAATATTAGGAAAGTGCCAGAGCTTTATATGCTGCCAATTAATAAACAAAAGGAAAAAAATGAATAAATCAGATAAAAAAAATTGAAAGACAGACCAGGGTCTATAATAGTAAAACACTGTTGAATACTAGTAATAAAAGTAATACTAGTAGCAATAGTATACTAATAATACCAATAGTATACTAATAATAGAAATAGTATAATATGGCATAGAAGTAGAAGTAATATACAACATAGCATAAACTCCCTTTTTACAACTCTGTAATCCAATAATAGTAGTAAAACAGAGAATATTTAGTATCAACAATAATAGAACTGGAATATGTTATAAAACAATCGACATAGAACTCACACATACGTTTGCATGTTTCACTTTTATAGCTTGGTTATTTTTTCAAAATCATCTCCCCAATCCTTATACAGGTAGACCTCAACTTACAACTGTAATGAAGCCTGCCCCTTAGTCGTAAATCATGATAGTTGTATATCAGGTCATCCATTTGGTTAACCTAATTTTATGAATTTTTGGAAATTGTGGCAGTTGTAAAGCAAACTTCCAATGCAAACAAGACAAATTGTTGTGAATTGAAGATTATTTATACAGCAATGTGTTGTACATGGGGCTGCTCTTGAAGATCATTTGGAAATAGAGCTGATGCACAAGTTGGCAAATCCACAGTTGAAGGGTATGCCATGACACCTTTCCTGTTATTTTTTTTCTGTTGACCAGTAGGTTTCCAGGTACAATTCAAGGTGCTGGCTATCACCTACAAAATCTTCTAGAGTATAAGGGTTGGCTATTTGTCAGGTTGCTTACTTCTAGCTTCTGCCCATCTTGTAAAATCAGAGAGTGTTCATGCATAATCATAAAACATGATTATGTTACCTAGTTTGGCAATGAAATGTCTGCAAGAAAACAACAAAGCTCAACAAAGCTTTGTTGTAAATTCATCTAATATATAATTATGCATTTTGAAATCCAAACAGCATTTTGGGTTTTCAAACGAGTGCAGAAGAACGTGCACTATGATCCTTGGATTCTTTATCCAAGGGGCGTATTTCATGTACACCCAAGGCGCAGAACCAAACCCGAAGAAAAACACTTGTGTTTTGATTGTGCATGTATTACAATAGCAGTAGTAATACTTGGGGAAGATCTACTGCTTCCTTTTCTTTCCTAAGTAACAGTGGTGCCAAGCGAGCCTAGGGGTTATTTCGTGCAAACCACGAAGGAGGAGCAAATTCCAGGCAGCCGCCCCTCCTCGCCCCCGAGGTCTTTCGCTCCAACCAGCCACAGTTCCTGTTATTTCCACAATCTCGCGGTAAAATTCTCGGGTTCTCGCTTTGCTCCTCCTAGGAAAGAGTATCCTTCCGCCCGCCTTCCCTCTTCCTCTTTTCAGGATAATTATTTGTCCGCGGCCAAAGCGGCTCGTGGCGCGTAGGACCGCCTGTTCCCGGGCGCGCGGCGTATAACCCGCTTCCCGACCGGTGAAAAACCACGACGCTCCTCCGCGCACCCCAAAGCCGAACAACAGTCAAAAGCGCATGCGTGACTTTTGTCGCTCGACTCCGTCTAGCGGAGGAATCCTATTAACCTCTCGCGTCATAAAGAACTTCGCGCGGGGAGTGATGCGGGAGGAGCAGTCCCTGCTCTGTGAGGCAGTCACTCAGTGAAAGAGCCCGAGCGTGCTGGGGGAGAGAAAGGGGGAAGAGCGACGGTGAGAAGCGAGCAGGAGAGGGAAGGCAGTGAAAGGGCGGCAGGCGAGCAAAGAGGTGGGGGCGACGGGAAAGAAGGCAATAGAGAACACCGGGCTTCCCCCAGGCCGGCACCCACATCTGTCCTCCCGCTTCCGCCGAAAAGCTTCTGCGCTCCCTCCGCCGCCGGAAAATAGTCCCCCTCCTTCCTTTCCTTCTTCCTGCTTGCCTCTCTCAACAGGCTCCGCCGCGATGGCGCTGAAGAGAATCCACAAGGTGAGAGTCCTTCGGCAGAAGGCCAACCCGGAAGCCCCTTCGGTGCGAGGGCCAGCTTAGGGCATGGTTTTCTCCCGCCCTTGTAGGCCGCGCCGAGGGGCCGGGCTGGAGGCCCCGATCGTGCCGGCGATGCTCTTGCTGGCGACGATCCTCGGTGCCGCCGCTTTACGTAAGCTCGGTCCGGCTTGGCCTGGGGCACTCGGGCATCTCCGGCAGGGCTGGAAGGCAACGCTCCGCGCGAGAACCTCTGGGCCTCTGGCCGCCCGGCTCGCGCTCCTTTATGGCCTGGGCGGCTCTCTCGCCCGTGGGGCGGGGGGCCAACTCCAAGCCCGAAAGCATTTCCTCGGGCTCGTTGCTAGCCCAGCTGGGTTGATACCTTCGTGGCATCCGCCGCGGGAAGGAAGGCGACCTTTTGTTGCAAGCGAGGTCTTTTTCCCCCCTCGGTCAGCCGCCTTACCGTCGGTCTCCGGACAAGAACGCAGTCACACCCCCCACCCCCCACCCCGGGCTAGACTAGCATTTTGCGAGGTTTTGCAAGAGGCGCACCAGGCCAACTTGGAAGGGCTTTTCTAGGAGGTTTGCAAAAAGTTCTTGCTTTCGTCACCGAAGCAGGGTTCGAGCACCGTTTCGAAAGTCATCCGTCCAATACATTTCGAAGCAGTTGGGTTCACAATTGGTGGCTTGCCGGTAGCCACAGGTGCGCGTTTAGGCATCCCTTCTTAAGAAGTTATTTTGGACGATCTACGGTACCTTCGTCTTGCTTGGTGTCGATCGAGGGAGGGGACCGTTCCGTTGCCTTGCATGAACAAAGGGAAAGCGCTGTAGCCAGTAAGTGTGCTGACCCTGAGATCTGCTTCAGCCTCCCTCACTACCCAAGGGATATGCCCTCTTAAATAATGTGAATAGTTGTTGCTCCCACTATTGCTTTCATGCTTACAACTTTTTGCCTCTCTATTTCCATTACTGCGATTGTGTGTCTTGCTGCATCAAAAGTTTATTTGATGTCAAAATACTAAGCAAGAGTATCCTGGAAAGCAATTCTAAGAGTGAATTCTACTGAACTCAGTGGAGTTTGCTGCAAAAGAAGTAAGTATAGAAACTAGTTGCTATAGTTGCAAGAAGAATATTTTGGTGATATCACTGTTCTAACTTGCCAAGTGATTTTTTCCCCAAACATGATAATGTTGATACATCAGGATGTAATTGGAATCAGTTAAAAGTTCTAGGCTCTTGGTTTAGACTTATTTGTAGCACTGGGAGTAATAACCACCAGATAATATAACTAGTTGGTTTAATGCATGCTTACAAAACAGTGCTCATAGGAATCACGATTCTAGAATAAGCAATAGGTGAAAATGCTACCTCTATTGAAAGCTCTTGCTTTGGAAAATAGTTTTGCTTTAAGGTTGCTATGGCTGGGAATAAAGGCTCTCAGGTGATCTTGCAGTGATATTGGTGATGTTATTTTTTTATAGTAATGTGTGTCATTGGCTTTTTAAACAATATTTTGTTGCATTTGAGAACGTAACTTTAAAATTTATGAAAATGGAACTTGATTGATATTTTTGGGTGTTTAAATATTCTGAATATTTTAGTTGTCTGGTTATAAAACCTAAAACCATTAATTAATAAGAAACTAAAATACTATTTTGTTCTTTTATTTCTCTGTTACAAACTTTGTTTTTCTAGCTTTGAGCTAACATATGTATTTAAAGAGATTAAATTAGAAAGGCTGATATATTGATCTATGAAAGGTTGCTGAATTAGGCAAGGCTTTTTATGTGCATTTGGATTTCATTTAGTGCATATAATTGGCTTACTTAACTGCTAAAGAGCAATCACACATTAGTTATTGATTTGTTAGTTCTGTGCCATTCTTGAAATATTGAATTTAAGAATAAACCTTTATGTAAGGGAGAACAGTCAACTGTATTTTGATTTTATTTAAAAAATATTAGATATATAGCAGTTCTTTGTTGAATTTGGTAGGATTTTTAGGATATTTCCAAATCAGAATTTTCTGATTTGTGACCTTATTTCCTCACAATACTAAATCAGGATTTTTGTGTCAGTGTGATTGAATGTCTCAGCCCATTTTACACAGAAATCATGGTTATTTATCAGGAAAGAATATTTCCAACATAGCAGAATAAAATTAACCATAGAATTGGGCAGAGTATTAAAACAAACAAAAAGCCAGGAATGGACATTTATAAAAAATGGTAAGCAATGATAAAAAAAAATCAGATTTCCTTTCTGATTTTTAAAAATCATTGCTTAACATTGTTTATAAATTTGCATTCCTGGCTCTTTGTTTTTGTACTCTGCCCAATTCTATTGTTAATTCAACATAAGACAACAGCTTAAAAATATAAGACTTTATACTAACCTTTCCTCTTTTTGCTTCTCCCTCATTCCCAGATTCTTCATTCTCCTTGGCATCAATTTTCATACATGCTCCTTCCCAACCAAATGATTGATGGGAATCTGACTTCTAAATTACATTTTTCCTTCATAAAACATTGTAGAAGTCATAATTCTGCTTGGCCACAAACAGAAATAGATAATATTCTGAAAAGCTGCAGCTGTTCTTCAATGTCTCATAGAACCTTTATGAATATCCCACAAAAAACACAAGCACAAAAATTGGAAGGTGTACCAAAATGCAATTATTTTTAAAAAATCAGAAGAGACAAAGTTTTCATTTCATTAGAAAACAGGCCAAAATATCTGCAAACGGGCAACACACTCTACATTCCACTTTCCAATAATCCCAATATTTTCTGGTTCTTCATCTAAGTCTTACTGATTAGTGTCAAGTCTTATTCTTTCCCCTGTCCTTTGAACAGAAGAAAATGATCAGTAGGTTAAGCCAGGAATTTTCTGAAAGTACCATGCTTGAGATAGATTGTCTTCCATAGATGCTAAATTAATGGAAGTTCACTACTACTTGAGGCCACTGAAACATCTGTTTCCTTTTGGAAGAAAATCTGGTTGATCAGGCAGTACTGTAACATCAAAACCAGTATTGTTTTTATTTATTCCTTCACTTTCCCCTCCTGCTTTAAACAGTGTTGCCCAGTTCATTGATTTGATTTTCTTAGAGATGTAACCATTTTTTGCTTCTGTTCTTTTTGAAAAAAAAAAGTTATCTTAAATATCTTTTTCCTTTCTGTTTATGTTGACAAACTATCTCAATATTATATAATGGCTCATAGGAAAGTGCTGTAATAGTGAATCAGTGGACACTGCTTATTCGTCTTTAGTATCCAACAAGAAAACTTAAGATTTTCCTTATTTATTTACTATTCAAGTCTGTTAATTGGATTAATTCTGTTGTTAAAAGTGCACAGAATACTAATTTTCCCCTGCTTATAATCAATTTAGATAAGTGAGTTCAGAAAAAGTTCAAATTAAAAAGCCAAGTTGAAGATGGATCATCCAGGAGGGGATCTATCCAGATATCTATCCAGTGCCACCAACTTGATGGCACTTAAGCCAAGTGAAGCTGGGCAAAAGAAAAAAGCAAGTGTCCTCAGAGCAGAAGCCAAGGCATTGCGCTAAAGGTGCTTATCCCAAATTTGCATAAGTGCAAGTATCCAATTGGATTGGCTGATAATTTGGTAACAGTGTCACTCAGCAGCATATTGATCTCTCTGCTTCAAAATTTATTTAGTTATTTTGCTGTGATGTTTGGAAGAAATAGGGAGGAACTTCTGCCTGGTATGAAAAGTTTGGATACTTTTAAAGAGAGAGCACATATAATTCCTTCCATTGAGGGATTAATATACGTAGCATATTCTATTTCTGCTTGAAAAATGAGAAATACATATTGAAATGATGTTAGAAGATAATTGATAGACTGCAGTTGCAAGAGTACTCCGGTCAATCATTTCCCCCTATAGATGCCTAGACAATCTGAACATTGTCATAAGGAAAGTTTTATCTAAAATTATATGTTTATACACATTGTGAGAAATAGAACTGAGATTGCTTGATTTTAAGATACGGACTTTATAATTGAAAAATTGGAAATAAAACTATTCTGTTTTAGGTTTATCTTGATTTAAGGGCATTTTAGATACAACATGGAAGAAATTTATATTTTGTATAATACATTTAAGGGAGAAGAATGAAATTTGTATGGCTGTAAGTCCGGATATCATGTAATAAGTAGATTAGTTACTCCTTTAAAAATTAATTTACATCCTCCTTGTCAACAGTAACGTGGAAAATACTGAATAAATATATTGCTAATCAGAATTTATATATGCAAGTCCATAGCTGCTTATTCTGAAGTTTTATTTTCAGCTTCATGGCATTCAGAATGTGAATGGAGCAAGTTCGTCAATGTTTTCTCATGTTAATTCATGCTTTGGTAGCATTTCTGTATTTTGAAATCTTCAGTTTTTCATTTTTTATTTGGTATAGTAAATGAAGGAATGTGAGGCATATGAAAACTAAGAAAAGTCTGATTGATTAGTGCATAGCATTTGTCACCATGTTCCAGGTCTAATATGGTTGAATAATTC